GGAAAAGCATCCTATAAATCAGATGTTTATAGTTTTGGAATGCTATTGTTGGAAATGGTAGGAGGGAGGAAGAATATTGACGTTACAGTTGAGAGTACAAGCCAAGTCTACTTCCCAGAATGGGTGTATAATTGCTTGGACAGAGGAGAAGAGTTTGGGATTAGAATAGATTCTGAGGGACATGCCAAGATAGCTAGAAAACTTACAATTGTTGGACTTTGGTGCATTCAGTGGTACCCAACAGACCGTCCATCAATGAAAGCCGTGGTTCAAATGTTGGAAGCGGAAGTCAATAGTTTGACAGTGCCACCAAATCCCTTCGGCCATGGAGATGGTCTGCGGACAGCGAGTGTCAATAGCCCAAGGAAACCAATTAATAGAGAACTAGAAGTTATCTTTGAATGAGAATAATTGGAATGTATTCTACACCTAAGTAGTTCTACTTTTCCTAATGCATCTATCCATATAAAGTAAGGACTTAATATTGAGTGTTGAATGTTTTATACAATCATTAAAAGGCTTGTATATTAATTTACTATTTATCAGTGGAACATGGAATGTTTTATAAGAAGGTTTTTCCCCCTTTTTTTTTGTTGTTTCTTTTTAATCCTTTACTACCTATTTCATGATTTTTATTTTATTAGGTTTTTGTCTATTCCATTAACTAAATTCACCTAAGGAAATCTAAACTTACTCTTTCAAATGAACATGGTTGTAGGAACCCATGTTAGTATGGTTGTAGTGTTCGATTTATAATTTCAGTTGCCAAGATTTAAACAATTAAAATGAGTAATTTAAAACCAAAATTAATTTATAAAACTTGTACCTACCAATACCTAATACTAAAAATTTAATTAATTTGTAAAACTAGTTAATTTTATTCTATGATTTTTAAATTTTAGAAAACTAAAACAAAAAACCAAAAGAACAAATGGAGAGTTACTATTCACAAGCTCATGTGAAACATGTCATTTTAATGGTCTCTTCAAGGTTAAATAAGAAAACAAAACTCATGTGAAACATGTCATTCACAAGCTCATGTGAAACGAAACATGTCATTTTAATGGTCTCTTCAAGGCATAACTCATTTAAAAGCCCTTTAACTATTTGTTTTCACGATCATTAACCCCTCAACATGTACTTTGTGAGTTTCAGCCAATAAACTTCACACTG